AGGAATGCCTCTGCCCCCTGGTTGTACAACAGCCCTGATGTTTGTTGGGAAGGCAGTTGTTATGTCATCCTTAGAAGATGCTATGTAGAAACCGTGCCTAGATTTGCGGGACGTTTTACACTTCCCAAACATCCTGTGCTCTTACTTTTAATGACAAGATACAACAGATGGATGAAATAAAGTAGATGGGTGGGATTGGTGGGTGATGAAATGCACGTTGTTGCACAGGCGAGATGGGAATGCAGTTCAGCTTTTCACTTGCCCAGCATCAGCTGCTGGCAGAGGCCTCTGGTGTCAAAGCAAGACTGTGTCTTAAGGAGAGATTTAAATTCTGATACATTAGTAGTGATGCAGTTTTTTCCTTCAAGTCGTTTGTTTCCCATGAGAAACAAACTTCCACTGAAAAGGTGCTGGTGGGAGAAGGGACCTAGGGGTAGTAAAGGCAGATTTCCAGGAATGTTTATAACACAAATGATAGATGACACATGATTATCCAGCACTCAGCACTGGTAAATATTCACTTCAAACTTATAAAGTATAACTAAGGCTCTGGCTGAATGAGTGGGGCTTGTCCAGTAAACAGAAAATTGGCATTTCATTGCATCTTTCAAACCTGCCCTATATGAGCCATGTGTGTGTGCTAACTTCTTTCTCCTTTTCTGTCCACTGTCTCAAGTTCCTACATTTAAGCAGGGGCTTCTCGATTTAGGTGAGCTAAAAGATGCCCCTTCCCACTCAAAGCCTATCCCAGTTGTATGTGAACGACAGAGAGAAAGGCGAAGGACAGGAAAGAACCTTCCATTAGATTTTGTCTTGTTCTCAAATGAAAAAGGTTCTCAGTTTTTAAGTCCTGAAACCTTGAATTTACCTAGTAACGAGAAATAATCTTGCTTATTCCCAGGATACACTACCTCATTTCTGCCATTATACAGTGACTTTTGCTTAATAAGCTTCATCCTTGCTTGGCAGCATTTTTCTTTAAGCATTCTGGCCTTTGAATCTCTGGCTCACTAGTAGAGAGAATTTTCTAAATTTTTAATACTCGGAGCTTCTTTCATGGGAAATCATCCCAGGGTCAGATTAATACATTCAGATAACTTTGTCTGGGGTACAGATGCAGGGCTGTCACCGTGGGAGAGCTGGAGGTTTTCAGGTCAGCTGATGCTGGGGAGATGTGGAACTTACTGTCTCCCATAGGGATGTCCCTGCTGAAACTGGGCCATCTCCACAGCTTGAAAGTGCAAGTGCTTTGCAGAGCATCCCATAATAATGACAGCTGACAGGTGTCAAAGAAAAGTGGTGAGGGTGACATTTCTCTACTGAGTGACTTGCTGGTGGGCTCTTGCTGTGTGTTTATATTACTGAAGTTCCTGCTGCTGTTCTGGACAGCCCACCCCACGGCTGCTGAATAGAAATGCAGATATGAAAAGAACTGGGTGAGAAAAAAACACCTCAGTGGTATGTTCAGCCTGTTCTAGGAAAAGTATTAGTATTTGGAAATTTACGGTGATGGGTAAGAAATCATTATAAACTGATAGATTTCTCTGGTCCTATAGATCAGACTTGTGGTTGAAGAAGGACTGAATCAGCTGCCATACACAGAATGCACGGTGACCACTCCGACAGGTAACTTATGGGAGCATGTTCCCCATCTGGTTGGGTTGGCAGTGGAAACTGCTTATTAAACGTAAAGTGGAATCTGAAATCCTTGTGAGAGGCTGAAGCAGTTTAATATTCAGATCAACCTACAGAATTATGGTTTCCCTGTCTTCTTAAGGGTTTAAATTGGGATTGTAAAATCATTATGAAAATTTACCAGTCCAAGTGCATCATAAAGTCACTTACCCATACCATTATGAGGAAGAAAATCAAGCCAGTAACATCTCGCATGCCTATTAAGGGAAAAATACTTAGCAGAGACAATTGTGCAAGACCTGCTTAATTCTGTCTGTGTCACCCACAACTAGAGCCCAGCTGGGTGTGATGACAGAAGAGTAAGAAGTTAAAGGACGTTGTTTGTGTTAGCATGAGAGAGAACTTGTGGAATGATTGTGGCCTGCTCCCACCAAATGCAAAGATCAGGTTCCAAGAAGGAAGATGCTCAGGTTGAAGATCAGTATAATGAGCTAGTTTGGGGAAGCTGCTCTTACCTGTTTAAAAAAAGTGCTTTCTCTCACTGCTACGACACTGGAGTCCAGCCTGATCCAAGTCAGTTGACAGTCAGAATAGTTTGGCTGTTGGGTGTTTCCATGAAATGAGGTTGTTGTGCTCCATGCTGCATGCAGTATTAACATAAAGGTTCCTTACTGGGCTGGCATTATGGTTACAGGGTGAAACATGCCTTCGACTTGTCAGTCCCTCTCAAGTGTACCACTCTGGTGATGTGCCTGGCTCCCTGCACCTTTCTGTGGCTGGGCCACAAAGTTGCACCCATTTTTAGACTAGATCTCTGGGCTGCAGTTTCTGTGTCCCAGTCATGTTGACACAACAGTCCCAGCGTGGCTTCACACATGTTCATCCTTTCCTTTCAGGACCTGTGACCAGTGAGATGGTTAAAGCCACTCAGAAACAGCTTTTCCAAAACATAGTTCAGTATTTCACCCAAGGATACATAACACAGAGCAGGCCTCAGTCCAGCCCAGTTCTATTGACCTTTCCCCTTACCCTTGAATCTATTTTGATCCTAGGCTTAGCCATAGGAAGAGTAAATGGTGCCTACCCTGGGTGTGGCCTGGGGATGTTTACCAATAAAAAGCTTCCTTTTTCTTTTTTCTTTCAGTCTAGTAGGCTAATAGCACATGGGTAACCTTAGGGGCATGTGATAGTTCTAAAAATACTGTACAAAACTCCCTGGTTTTTCAAAGACAGGTAGACAAAAACTTCCTGCCAGACTCTGGATTAGAGCTAAAGCACAATGGGTGTAGGAGGGTGGGGAATGGAGGTGAGCAAGCCTTGCCATTGGCACTGTTCTATGAACAAGTAAGATTTCAGCTTCTAGGACTGCCACTTAAGCCTTGTTCACATGCTGAGTATCTTTCAATTTTTTCTTTAGATGATCACAAAGTATAACTCCAGCTTGCCATATTTTTGGTATAACTCCCCTGTGCACAGCCCTGGAGTCTAGCTACCTGGCTTCTAATCAAGATACTATTTAGCCATATTTTGTACGGCCTCTTTCACATGAAGTAAACAAAGATACAGGCAGCCCCCACTTAGCGCTCTTAATCAGTTTCTGAGAAACTGAGCGTTAAGCGAAACCAAAAGTGTTTGACGATCCAAGATGGTGACCTCAAGTGTTTTTAATGACCCAAGATGGCGACCGCATGCATTATAACAAAACTCGCTGAGAGCTAAGTGAAATCAGGTATCAATTAAAAATGAGTGTTATAGCAAAATAGCACTATGCGAAACAGCGTTAAGCGGGGGTTGCCTGTACATAAGTTATGAAACGAACGGCCCACAGAAGGGAAGGCTGTCTCCTAAACCCCATTTTTACGTTCTGTTCTTTTTTTTTTTTTTTTAAACAAACCCTTTGCCAATGCAAGTGTGTGCTGCTTCTCCCTTTCCTTTTCTGAGACCTGTAGGATCTGTCAGACTGCACCATGCCACTCTTTCACACAGTACAGTATACCTTTGTGACTTCTTTTGCACAGTGCAATTGGAGGGATGTTGGCTTCAGTCCTACAGATAGCTTAGTAAGTTTTATCCTGAAAGGGCATGGAAGTGGGATGAAAGGGAACAATAATGTGCACTCACCATCAGTTCTGTTTCTTTCCCCCACAGGGTACAAGTACGAAGGTGTAAAGTTTGAAAAGGGAAACTGTGGAGTCAGCATAATGAGAAGCGGTAGGCTGCGATTCTTTGGTTTCTGAACATGTGAATGTGTACAGTTTGCCTTCAAGCCTCTTACCACTCTCATTTTAAGAGCAGCAATCACCCGTCTGCTCTGAGGAGCACGGGTTCACCCAAGTCATCCAGTTGCCGTACTCCCTACTGCTGAAGTGTGTCCCATTCCTGACAAAGCCACATCTACTAATGTCAACCAATGTGTTGTATTAATCCTTTAGGAGAGAAGGATTCCCATATTTCCTGTGGCAACTTTCTAGAGGGAAAAGAGGCTTCTAAGGGGCACTGAAGTGAGGCAAGGCCTGTCTTCCTTTTAGAGCGCTCCGTTAATTAATTTTTACTCCACAAAGACAATATTCCATGTAGTTGAATTGTGCTGGTTTGGGAGAATGGTAGATAAAATAACCTTCTGCAACTCCCTTAGATCCTTGATAGCAATAGTTTTAAGACTGTCTTTAAAGATGTAACATCCAGTAGATCCAGTATTTCTCATCTTATCCATAGTTCAAAATGATGGTGCAGGTGAGTTTCCTCAGAGCTGAAAGGAGCTCTTCAAACCCATTAGGATTTATTAAAAATGTTTGTATGAACTTCTTTTTTGCTTTTGCCTTTTTGGATTTAAAGTTTCTCTTCTGTCTGAAAAAAACAGCTTAGTGTTAGTGCCAGTGTCACGGTAAGTGACACTGAACAGAGCAGAAGGAAAACTTGGAAGTTAACAATTTGAAGTGGCTTTAATAATCTAAAGTAGGGGGGATTATTATTATTCCTTGTTGGAGTCTCTGTTTAATGATAGTTTGCACTGATGCCTTCATTAGTTTGTGACAAATTCTTTCTTTCTGTCAACTGGAGGAGAGGCAATGGAGCAAGGTTTACGGGACTGCTGCAGGTCCATCCGCATAGGAAAAATCCTGATCCAGAGTGATGAGGAGACTCAGAGAGCCAAAGTGTACTATGCAAAGTTCCCACCAGACATTTACAGGAGAAAAGTTCTTCTCATGTATCCAATTCTAAGTAAGTGTCTTAAAGGATGTTTAGGGTTAACTCTTGTTTATGACTTGCGGGCATGCTGTGTAAAAACAGCTATTTCCTGAATTTTGGTAGCTATTATTAGGTTTTTGGCTTGCTTTGGGCAACACAGCAGAAAATTTATCAAGCTCTGCCAGAATATACATTAGTCAAACTGCATTAGCTGTTCAGGCATTGTCTTCAAAATGCACATGTTGAGGCAATGGATCTAATGAGGTAAAATAAATGTGGAGCAAATCACTGGAGTAACTGTGTGATGGGGGCATAGGGAAACATTAGAGTTTGTGGTTAATGCATCTGCAGTGTGTAAATAAGTATAAAAACTTCCAATTTCTATTTGTGCATGCTATTACAGATATTGATTAGGGGTGCACCGATAAAGATTTGTTTGGCTAATTAATGAACCATATCGGCCGATACTGACCTGATTGCAAGTATGCAAGCACGGCAGTTTGGAGAGCAGCATTCGGCTAGTAAGTCTGTGTGGAGCAAAGGGCGTGGGGGAGGGGCAGATCGAGGCCCCCCATGGCAAGGGAAGAAGTGGGAGTAGGACTGGGGATGGGGCAGGAGCTGCACAGACAGGGCAGGGTGTGGGACGGAGCCACAAGCGGCTCGTCCAGAGGGCACAGGGCAGCTCTCAGCCACTGTGTACTTCCTTAGGGGAGGCATGGAGGCATGTGCCTCCCAGCTCTGTGCATGGGGTGAGGGCGAGCTGCCTGCTTGGGGCTGGGGACAGTGTCAGGCTCTTCCTGGTGGGTGGGGGCTGGACTGGGGCTGTGCTTGGGGCATGGAGTGGCAGCGCTGGGAGAGGGGCTACAGCATGTCTGTAGCGCCCCCCCCATAGGTCCCCACCCCCACTGCTTGTCCCGCCTACCCCAAGCGCAGCTCCAGGCCAGCCCCCGCCTGCTAGGAAGAGCCCAGCGCTGCCCCCGGCTCCTAGTGGGCAGCACACCCTCACCTTGCGTTCCCCAGATCTGGGAGGGACATGCCCCCCAGGCCTCCCCTGGGGGTGTATGCAGCGTCTGGGAGCTGCCTCCCTCCCTGTGCCCCCGAGACGAGCTGCTTGCAGCTCTGTCCCACACCCCACCCTGGCTGTGCAGCGCCTGTCCCTTCCCCAGCCCCACTCCCTCCCTCACTGCGGGGGCCTCAGTCTGCCCCCCTGCATGCCCCTTGCCCCACCCAGACTTACCAGTCCAATGCAGCTGTCCAAGCTGCCAGGCTGCACTCCTGGCCATGTGCATGATGCGGCTGCACGCAGCATTTATCAGCCACATCAACCAAAAAAAGCCAGTTGTTGATAATGTCAATTTTCCTTTTATCAGTGCCGATACGATATGGACCAATGTACAGTACACCTCTAATATAGTTTCATAGTTTCTAGGGGCGGAAGGGACCTGGGCAGATCATTTAGTCCGCCCCCCTGCCATGGCAGGAAAGAGTACTGGGGGTTAAACGACCCCAGCAAGATGGTCATCTAACCTCCTCTTAAAAACCCCCAGGGTGGGAGCCTGCACCACCTCACTTGGAAGCTGGTTCCAGACCCTAGCCGCCCTGACCGTGAAGTAGCGCCTCCTGATGTCCAACTTAAACCTTCCCTCCGCCAGCTTGTGACTGTTATTCCTGGTCACTCCTGGCGGCGCTCGGGGGAACAGGGACTCCCCCAGTGCCTGTTGATCCCCCCTGACTAGTTTATAGCAGGCCACAAGATCCCCCCTCAGCCTTCTCTTCTGGAGGCTGAACAGGTTCAGGTCCCGTAACCTTTCCTCATAGGACCTGCCCTGCTGTCCCTTGATCATGCGAGTGGCCCTCCTCTGGACCCTCTCGATGCTGTCCACATCCCTCTTAAAGTGCGGCTCCCAGAACTGGACGCAGTACTCCAGCTGCGGCCTGACCAGTGCCGCATAGAGGGGGAGGATCACCTCCTTGGTCCTGCTTGAAATGCATCTGTGGATGCACGACAAGGTACAGCTGGCCTTCCTAGCCGCCTCCCCACACTGCCGAGCCATCTTCATCTTGGAGTAAATAATGACTCCAAGATCCTTTTCCACC